AAATGGATTTCAAATGACGCCGAGCTAAGAAAACTCTTTGATGAAGAAGGAGAGGATCTGGATCGAGGGATAAGAAAAGAGGGACACATCAAAATTTTGGGACTGAAATGGAATTTTGTAGACAACGTGTTGAGCTTTCTCGACACTACATGGCGAAATGACAAGGACATGAGACAACTCTCAAAAAGACAGGTTTTGCAGGCCACGGCAAAGCTATATGACCCTTTAGGTTTTTTGACACCGTCTTCAGTTACAGCAAAAATATTGCTGCAAAAAATTTGGATGGATAAACTGAAATGGGATGACCCGTTACCAAGCCAGCAGAGATCTGCTTGGAAGGACTGGTCGGAGAAGCTTCAGCACTTAGATGACTTTACCGTTAACAGATGCTATGACAACAGGCAAGCTGAAGTGAAAGCATCGACTCTACACGTGTTCTCCGATGTGAGTCCAATGGCGTATGGAGCAGCAGCATACATTGTAACAGAATACTCCGATGGAAGCAATGAAGCCAATTTAATCATTGCAAAAGGTAGAGTCGCTCCAATCAAAAGGATTACACTAGCAAGATTGGAGTTGTTGGCGGCCACAATATCAGTCAGATTGGCCAGTCATATAACTGAGAATTTCATCAGGAAACTATCGAACGTGAAATTCTGGACTGACTCTCAAATTGTATTATACTGGATAAAGTTTAACAAGGCGAAAGATCTGTTTGTTCGCAACCGCGCAGCAGAAATTAAAAGCAAGTCCAATGAGAGTCAATGGGGTTATGTTAAAAGTGATGAAAATTCTGCGGATTTGATGACAGGACCCACGTGGATCAAGAATGAAAAACAAAGGCCTGATTATGACATCACGCAAGAATCGGACTGTGATGACAACAAAGACGAAGAAAAGACCGTGGCAAGCTTAACTACCACCACGAGTGAAGAAAAAATAATTGATGTGAGCAGGTTTGGATCATACAAGAAAGCGTTACGAGATACCGCTTGGGTGATGCGTTATATAGGAAACCGAAGAAAAGAAAGGAAAACAGGTTCGCTGACAGGAGAAGAATTGGACAAGGCAGAGTTTGTGCTGATAAAGCAGGAGCAGAAAACGCTACAAAATGCAGTGACACGGATATATGACAACATGAATCTGTACGGCACGAACATCTTCGAAGATGATCAAGGTGTCCTAAGAGTAAAAGGGAGGCTTCAGTGGAGTGATTTGAGCTTTCATGAGAAGCATCCTATTATTTTACCAAGAGAAAGTCACTTTTCAGAACTCCTAGTTCTGAACGCACATCAAGTCACGTCACAATGCACGGTGGCGTTGCGGCAACATTGACACATCTAAGAACGAAGTTTTGGATTGTGCGTGGCCGACAGATGGTGAAATATGTGATAAAAAAATGCATCACATGTAGGAGATTCAATTCTAGACCAATGGCACAAGAAATTCAACCACTACCAGCTGACAGGATAACACAGACGAGGCCATTCGACACAGTTGGTATAGACTTTGCTGGACCGCTAAATGCTCAATAGGAGAAAGGCGAAAAAGTTACAAAGTTTTACATTGTGATATTTACGTGTGCAGTAACAAGAGCCATACAACTGGAGTTGGTCAAGAGGATGTCATCAGAAGCGTTTATACAAGCATTCTGAAGATTCGTAGCTAGAAGAGGATTGTGTACAACTATTTACAGTGATAATGCAAGAGCATTCAAGAAATCTGAGAAAGAGATGAACAAGACATTAAAGATGGAAGATGAAAGGGTTCAACAGTATACCAGTAACCTGAAAGTAAAATGGAAGTTTATTGTATAGTTAGCTCTGTGGTGGGGAGGATTTTATGAAAGACTGATCAGAAGCTTCAAGACATCCATGGCAAAAACTATAGGTGCTCGACTTTTGGATGAAAAAGGAACTATGGACTGTGGTTGTTGAAGCAGAAGGAGTACTTAACAACCGGCCTTTTACTTATGTGTGTGAGGATCCTAACGAGCCACAACCCATCACACCGGCGGATGTTATAGGAGGCAGGCAAGCAATGAACAAGCAGGAAGAAAACAGACTCGGAGAATACAGTTTGCTGAATTACTGGAGTGCAAGAAAACGGGCAATGATAACATGGTGGACCAGATGGGAAAAGGAGCACCTGTGGGAGCTGAAGTGTGCCTGCAGAAAAACAGAGCGTCACACAAATGTACAAGAAGGAGATGTACTTCTGCTTGGAGAAGCGCGAAAAAGAACTCGGTGGAAACTCTGCAAGGTCGAAAAGATTTTCCCAGGCAAGAATAGACTAGTGAGAACATGCTTGCTTCGTACACCTGAAGGAAAATTAGTCAAGAGGCCGATTCAACTGTTGTATTCGCTCGAAAATGGCTTCGGTTGAATCTGGCTGGCGCGAAGATGTACAAAACAGATTGAAGATGGAGCTCGGAGGCGAGAAAGAAGAAGTAGCCAGGGGCACGCTCTGTTCATTTTTTTTTTCCTGTTCTGTCAACAATAAACCGGAGACGTATCGGTTCTGCGGTCTCTCTGGTCCTTCTGAAACAGCGTGCGCCTTCCGAGCGAAGAAGATCGGCCATCTCGCTTGATCTTTTGTTTGAGCAGCGCTCATCACACCAGCTTGCGCAATTTTACGCGCAAGTCAAACCATTGCCTCCTTTATTTCATTCAATGCCAGTGCAAACGGGTGCTGTTCAACGGGAGCCATAGGTCCGCTTTGGTGCAAAGAGTGATTGTTATACGACGCCACAGGAAGGGCAGGGCTGCTTGCATCACATGTTCTTCCAGGCACTTTCTCGCGGAAATGCGAGAGATGTGTTTCCCTCTCCAATATCATACGTCTGTCAGATTTGTTCCTTCATGCTTCCTTCTTTGTGGCTGGAAGCAATGCCGCCGCCACCTCACAGCGCTACTTATACAGTGGCGTCACCGTGACGCATCCCCATTGGTTACCGGCCTAGCGCCATGAGCCGCGACGTGCATCTCATAACACCGTATCACTTACAGAGCCAGCGTGACCGCCAAGTCGGGATAACGAGGAATGCAAGACTCCGCTGCCCCATGGATCTGCACCCAACTGAACAAAAAGTTACTTCACATGATTTCCTTCACATTTTGGGCATAGCCACCTTAGACGGATATGCAGACTTCTCGCCGGCTAGCAAAATAAATCCGCCTGGGACTCAGCAACACATCCTGTTTCAGACCACTATTCGCACCCGCCGCATAGCAAGCAGCGTAACGGCGCATCTCTTTGAGACAGACGGTCGTTATCGGCGCCCGTTCCAGAGAAAGCAGCGGATACTCCGCTTTTTCCATCTGAGACTTTAAACGGATCACTTTGCTGCTGAAAGCAATTCCCATTCTCCCAAAGGGGGGAGTCTGGTATCACGCCCACTCAGGACCGCAGCAACCGCCATGTGCACGGCGTCACGGGTTCGCTCTCGGCACAGTGGCCTTCGGAAAGTTTCCCCGCACGGCCGCTACACAGTTCGCCGCTTACCTGCATAGCAGCCAAGGTCGTCCGCATGGGGACTCCCCCTTTTCGCCACTGTTTCGGCCCCGAGGCTTGCATGTGCTAAGGCACCGCGAGCGGCCATCACACCGAATTTCAGGTTCTCTGCAGACAACAGGGGGCACGAGATAGCGCGTCAGCTACCACATTGGTTTTGTGTTCACCACAAAAGGGGTTGACGACATAGACAGGTGCCGAGGGGTGCCCGTCGATAGAAGCGATGGCTTCTTTGTGCAACGCGGCATCCGCCACAAAAATGCCACGAAGCAGGCATGTTGCGACGAGCCTGAATCGCGCAGGGGAACTGACTTGCTAAGAGCAGTCAAAAGCTTAGAGCTTTTGATACCACGTTGGGCGCCAGTGTAGTGTACACGCATCCCAAAGGAGTACGGCCACTAGTATGGGTCCAGTCTTAGCAAGCCGCAGGGCACGCGTTAACCGTCATCGTGGTGAAAACACGATACTGCTCAAGGTCGCAACGCTTTATTTTCTGCAGCAACACCAAAAACACAGTACAGAGCTCATTGCAAAGGCGTGGCGGGAAAGGAAATGGGCTTATCCACGCTGCGGCGAGAAGTACTACACAGGGGTGCCGCGAGCACGTCTCCAAGGTAAAAGTGATTCACAGAGACACTGGGACAAAGGCCCGGTTGCTCGAGTGAAAGCAAAGGCGCTCGCGTTGGCTTCAGAGAGATACGGGTCGGCGTGGCCTGGCTACGCACTAGGACACAGCTCTTCGGCCTAGCGTTCGCAAGGGGCAACAAAAAGTGAGCGTTCACCGCGGGCGCAAAGCACCCATTGGTGAAGTCCGACGAGCCCCAAACAATAGGAGTCGATGGACGAAAAAGAGATGCGTGCTCACCCTCAGTCGTCTCGGGGAAATCTAACTCGCTCCCGATGCGCACGCGCGAAACATCCCGGGAGACTTTGCGCGCGGCGCCACAGTCGACATCCGCTACCGGGTGAGAGGGGTCAAATGTCACTCTTCGCTCTCCCAGCGCGGCAGACAGCGGAGGAGGGGAGTCATGTCAGAACATGTGAACAGCAGAAAAGGTGGCAAAGCCCACGCAAAGACAGCGAGCTAGCCCCTATTCCCACAACACACAGTCAGCAATGTGCAGAGCATTCTTGTGTGCCTTATTTACAATTTCGTGCATATTTATGTATTCAGTGTGCTACCCAGTATTAATTTACTTAATATAGTATGTTAGCGCTTCCCTACTTTCCCAAAAACATAAACCCAAGGGCCACCGAAGTGTGAAGAATTGCACTATTCGCCAAAAATGTACTTTCCGGTACTGTTTCTCTTGCTGCTATCATCTTAACGACAGTCATGTCGGATGTACAGTCGTGCCACCTATAGGTCGTGAAAGTTTCGGATACAGTCACTTTATTGTTATGCTCTCTGGGAGGTTGAAATATGATCACAGTAAACTGATAAAAATGTTTTATCACAGTAAACTGATAAAAATGTTTTTGTTTAGGTTTGTCGGCACCTGTGCCAAGAGGGCGGAAAGGGAAGAAGCTTAAGAATGGTAAAGGAGAACCAGACTCGCCCGACATGTTGGCTGACTGGGCTCGAGATGACCAGTACAACCCGGACCTTCTTCTTTGCGATGATGGCTATCGCAAGCACTTGCATCGGCATGCTAACAAGTAAGGATTCTAATCCTCTGATTTGCTGAATACTTGGTCCAGGGCACATAATTACTATTTTGTTTCTTTTTTTTAGGGTTCTTCTGAGGGTTCGCCTTCTCTACTACTTGAAACATGAAATAATCGGAGATTTGCATCAGCAAGTGTTTGCAGGAGTGCCAGCCAGGTCAGTTTTTTATGCACATGTAGGTAATAATAGTACAGTGGACAATCAGTAAATGAAAATCTTTGAAACTGAACTGCTGCTTAAACTGGAACAATTGCCTTTAATATTATTGGTTTCATACCTGAATTCTGCACGCCAGTTCATTTCTTGGTACACAGAACTCCTGTTAAACAGAACACATTTTCTTGATCCCTTCAGGTTATGTTTGAGAGAATGCCCTGTATTGCAATAATAATTACTACAAACACAGTAGTGTCATGAAAAAAAAAAAAAAAAACATACGGAATATGTTTTGTTCACTAAAATGCGTTTTATCTTACTCTTACTTACCTCACTCTTACTAAAAATGAAGGCTTTGGATTTACTTACTGTGAAAATTCGTCATGACAGAATGACAGTTATGCGCATTGGTAATTGCCATGCATGGTACTGGTTTATGGCAGTGCACATGAAGTTCAGAAATTGTGCAGATTGAGTTGAGTGATGCAGGCACAATGTGACAATAAAAATGAATGGTGTGCTACCAACACGGTGCACGCGATATGTTTGGTTAAAAATGCAAGTCTGATAGCTCTCAAACTGCATAGAGGCTGATTTCCGACTTTCCATCATGCATAGAAGCGGCAGGTACACGTTAGTGGTGATTAAACTGCACATAACTGTGTGCTGTATTGTTTGCTGCATTGCCGTATCGTACCCATGTATTAGCATAAAGCAGGTACTATTCACAGGGAGGCCCTGCCGCGGTGGTCTAGTGGCTAAGGTACTCGGCTGCTGACCCGCAGGTCGCGGGTTCGATTCCCGGCTGCGGCGGCTGCATTTCTGATGGAGGCGGAAATGTTGTAGGCCCGTGTGCTCAGATTTGGGTGCACGTTAAAGAACCCCAGGCGGTCAAAATTTCCGGAGCCTTCCACTACGGCGTCTCTCATAATCATATGGTGGTTTTGGGACGTTAAACACCACAAATCAATCATTATTCACAGGGAGGGTGCAGAAAAATGTGAACCAGCCCCAAGTGTCTTCTGCATCTTTTGAAATTAATATAGTAAGAGGATACCATTTCTGCAGCACTGATCCTAATAGCAGGATGCAGCACTTGTTGAACTGGTTTGGGTGGCACTGCTGAATCGGACGGACCTATTGTGCAAATATGTACCATGGCATAGCAGAAGATGTGTCAGTTGAGTTCCAAATCCGTAAAAGCTTGTTCATTTTGTGAAATCAAATTGTAGCGTCTTTTCATGGCCGTTATAGCACTATTTTATGCCACAAACAACTTGTTGGATCTAAAGTACTTTGTCATTAACCACAGAGTTAAAAACATCTAGTAGGAGCTCAGCTCCTTTATTTGTGGCGACCACATAATGTCATACTATCAGGGTGCAATAGCTGGGCCGATTTGATACAATGCCCCATTTTTGCACCAAGCTGTGCCAAAACCATGAAATTGTGCCACACAGCGCCAAAATACCCGACCAGTCTCAAAGTTTTCTCAGTTGCGCTAATATTATCGAGAGTGCGTCTCTCATAATCATATGGTGGTTTTGGGACGTTAAACTCCACATATCAATCAATTAATTTCAGCAAGAAATAGAGGCCACGTATGTTGCCATCCTGCAGTTTGAGTCATCAATGAGTCAAAGCGTGCACTGTAACCTTAAACCGCAGTAACCTAACCGCGGTAACCTAACCACACCAATCTTAATCCCATTAGGTCAGGGCACTTGCGAGACGCAATCGACCAGATAAAGTAACAAAGCCCTGTACCCATCAGTCCGCTGATCACAACGGATACCTATTGGCGGACGACGCAAGTTCAAGACAAAAATGCATTGCCGTAGCCACGAAAGCTTCGTGGGAAATGTGAACTTCCTAGTCACCAAAGGTGGCCATGGCATGTTAGCGACTAGGGCTGGTAATGCATACCGCGTTTTTCGCATGTGAACAGAGTTGACGTGCTGCAAACGCCAGCATTGCCAGCGACTACGTTGGTCGCCATTGGAACGGCACAGAAAACATTTTTCTGTTTTGAAGTTGCTTTAGTTGCGTCGTCCTGGTGATATCCGGTGCTTTCGCCAGACCAACGGCCGTGCGCTGCTGTCACTTTACCTGGTAGAATGCGCCTTGCAAGCGAGCTAAGACGTTGTAAGAGGGGGGGGGGGGGGAATCATTGGTCTTGTTTTAACCCGTGGAGAATGCTGCTTAAACCACCTTCACCGCAATACACTGGTGTCTTGAGGAAAAGTGTATTATGATTCGAAAGGGGCTGTGAGCACTACTCACGGGACAGGAAATTTCGTTCAATTACTCATGCTTGTATACTACTGCATAATTGTGCACACTAGTATGATCGCTGACGCCTAAAAAAGTTACTGGCGATCATTTGGAGCAGTGTATGAAACTTCTGCTGCCCTAAAAAAAAAAAATAATCCAAGCAAACTGCGCGTTTTTTTTTTTTTTTGCCTCCCCTACTTTTCATTTTCACGAATCCCTTGAATTTTAAGGTTGCCAGCTTGGCAGATCTACATTTTAATTCACGGATTCTGTCGAAGGATTTGACAGATGCAACAAATGCTAATGTGGACTTTATTATTGTTTGCTCAGTGGGGTAGATTGAGATGTTAGTTTTATTAAAACAGCAGTGCTCATGTTTACTGTGCATGATTCAGGTGATGTTGAATGGCTTGAACATGCTTTCTTTTCTAAATGTAAGTCTTCTTTGCTCCAAATTCGGTCTTTCGTGATAAAAATAGGTGTTTTATTTCCTGTAACCTGCTTCGAATTGGCATTTTAGTGCTCCAAAAGTAAGATTTTGTTGCTCCGAAAATTGCTCCAAATTCTTTTTCGGCTGTTGCACCTCTGTACTATCACGGAGCCACATCATCCTAGTGGAATCGGGCAGTTGCCACAAGGAAATCGACACTGTGTCTGTTGTCAAGGGAACTAGTCATATGTTTCCCCAGTTCGGTCACTAACATGAAATGTGGTTATGAAGTACAGAGCTTGCGTGTGTTTCTTGCATCGAGGCTGCAGTCCTGACGTTATTATTCTGACCCCTACAACCCTTTAAAGGGGCCCCACAACACTTTTCCAAGTAATTGTCAAATGGCATCATTAAAAGAGTTTATTGCCTCACAAATCGACTGCTGCAAACATTTTAGAATCCATCAAGTACAAGTGGAATTCACAGATTTGTCACGCGCTTCTGTCTCTGTTAGTGCCAGTGAGTGCAGTGTACCATAGCATTATGCAGTGCAGTGCATAGCTTTATGCAGTAGGGGCATTACAAGAGGGCAAGAAGAGACCTTAAGAAGACACTGTTATATTTATGAATGTGTGGCTTATGTTCGTTCAGTGTGATTGCTAGCACGTGTGGGGGCACGTGGTGGCACTCACGGCGGCCGCAATAACTGTGCAGCTTACTGGGCTCATATTAGTCAGTGGCTGGGGACTCTAGCAACCATCTTTAGCAACACATTTTTGGCACACAACGCATGGGCCTGTTGCCACGCTAGCGAAACTTTGTGCAGTGGCAGTCGCAGGTAGTAGCCACCCCAGTTGCAGATAGTGTCATCAGCTAGGGTGCCCTAAACATAGCAGTTTGTAGTAGTCCGCATAGAGGGTGCTTGGGGTGCCCTTTTAAGAAAAGAGTCTAGTTGTGTTATTGTTGCAGTTTTTATTTGCAAAGTTGGTTAAAGCACTAACACAAAATTTCAAAGGTGAGATAATGAACGAAATAGATTTATGTGGAGACATACACATCGTCTACAAGATGTCAAGGGTGAATATAGCCTAGAACATATTTAAAATTAATTATAAAGTGCATGCCTCGCGACTAAGCGAGATGCCGAGCCCCTCGCGACGCCGAAATCACTGCAGCAGTGACGGAAGTGCTGCTCTAATTGCTCCAAACTGCTCCAAAAAAAGACTTGCTGCTCTAAACTGGGGTTTTTTTCTTAGTAACTGCTCCGAACCTGCTCCGAAATGACGCTGACAAAATGAAAACGAGTAACTGTGTGACCAATTTTCAAACCTTAAAGAAACAGAGAAGAATGTGTGTACTGGGATTCTATCATATTAATATACTTTGCTCGCTCTTATTTATGCAACAAGAACTGGTATGGGCACAGAACGTGGGTTCAAACTATTTTAAATTATATTAACGGGTGCCTCGGCGCTTTATTTGCAACTCATGACGTGTCGGCAATCACGTGGCACAGTTTTCATGAATGGTTATTTGCCACTGCTCCGTTTTGTAATTGAAACTTGCAACGAGCGCTTCAAGAGGTGTCGCATGCGTGCCGGCCCTGGGCTACTTGAGCTTTTAGGCTTAGCTCTTAGGCTTAGCTCGGTCGTTGTTTCGGTCGGCGTTTATTTATTTTTTTCCTGTTATTTTTTGCAAATAAAACCTGTCTGTCTACATTTGACGGTTCGTTTGCTGGGACACGGATTTTCTTACCTGCTCTGCGTGAGCGCTTTACGCTAGTCGCAAAGTGACTCGGGTGGCAATCGCAAGTAAATATATTATTGAGAGTTCTACATCGACAGGGATCACCTATAGATATTAAAAAAAAAACATATAGAACTGGTCAACGTGTGCCATAATAATGAAGCCTAGTTGCTCGCATGGAGTGGCGTTATCAGTATCATTCACTTATCACTTAGTGCCATATGCATGTGCTTTACGAGATAGTCGGTACGGTGAGGTTTCTTGGCTCTCGCGCTGCACTCTCGAAGGTGGTCCCACACGAGATAGCCACGAACGCCAGTGCAGCATGCTTTTGTTGTCTGTTAAAAGCTCTTGACACTATCATGTTAGGCTTTTCTTTAAGCGAACGACTATTGTTACGTAACTAAGATTCTTGTGCAATAACAATTTTTCAATTTGTTTTTGAGTGTAATTAGTGGGAACCTAGTTTTCAACAAACCTTTTTTAAACATTATTTCACATGTTACGCGGGCTAGATAGGTCACGTGGTATGTAAAAAGGTAGGGCAGTTCATACCTGGCGATAATCTGTTAAAAACTTCCTTCAAAATCTCTTTCAGTGTTATGTGTAGTATAAGCCAAATAAAATATGCACTGGTGCTCCCACGATGCTAATCATTTGTATTTTCAAGCTCCCAGAACGACATAGTAAATGCCGCTAACTGCTTCGAAGCAAGGTTCTTCTGTTCCAAAATTGAAATTTTGCTGCTCCAAAAACTGCTCCCAATTTAGTCTTAGCCATCTAACTCCTGTATTCTGTAATTTTTCGTTCCACGCACATGGTACTGCAGCTCATTGCAAATATTGTGCTTTGCATTTACAAACAAAGCTAAGTTTGTCTCGGTCAAGGCCTAAACACACAAGTGGAAGAATGCGCTCGCGTGGCATAGCAGCGGCGGCAAGACGCTGCTGAGGCGATACAAACACCAGCTCGTGATGAGCCATTCACTCCAAGGTGCATTTTTTTGGGGGGTCACGCCCATTTACAGCTACCTGGAAGTTAATATGTCGGCCCCCTGAATTGTGAGCAATGCTATTCGGGGCCATACAAGCCATCTCATCATTTTATGTCCAGCCAGGTTTTCCCCTGCTTTACTGAGCGCCTATGCACATATGGAGGCTCCAACAGAGTTGCTTGGATTAGTCTCATCAGAAAGCACCGTGTAGTGTGTTGCTAAAAATAGCGCACGTTAGGGAGCTTCAGAGACGTGCATTCTACTGGTGGTGCACCACTTTTAAAGGGACCCGAAATTCAAGTAACAGTTTACGTCGGGGTGAAAGCTCAATGTATGACAACATCTAAAACAATAATATTATAAACAGCAGTGCCATAAATACCGAGAAATTACCGTAAAATCCGGAATATAAATTGGAAAGTAATATAGGGTTGACCCGCCAACTTGAAGTCTCCAAAGGAGGAAATTTTAAAACTCATAAAGTGTCGCGGCGCACCTTTACCTTGGTAAATGCGCGATACAACCAGCTGCATTTTGGTGGAATTTCTTTTTTATTTGAATCTTAATCTTATGTAGTTAAACGCCAGAAGGCCACAAAGTGCTGTCACTCAGGCTCATCTGAACTTGAGTCGGACGGCGTGGCCTGTCTTTTTCACTTGTAAGGCCCCAGAGTAGAGATGTGCATGGGCTCCGGGTAGCTCGAGCCCGACTCAGCTCGCAGGCCGGGTTCAGGCAGCCCGACGTCTTTTCACTTTGAGCCTGGGCCGGGTTCGGGCTTCCTTGTTGAGTTATAGGGCCAGGCTCGGGCCTGATGAAAAGCCCGAATCAAGCCAAAAATATAGATGATGTGCCGGAATTCTCATTCATATGTGTGTTTTCTCTGGAGAGAAGTAGTACATTTTTTGGGAAATAAAAATACTTGTTTTGTCATAGTTTCAATAGTTGGGGTGTAAGTGGTTTAATTAGCTGGAATTCACGGCTTTTTAACACTAAGGGCTGAGGGAACAGCACAGATGTGTTCTAGAAGTATAAGAACTGGCCAACATTTCGTAAATGTTTTGTTCTTTATCGTATACATGTTGTATACAAAAAATATTTATCGTATACAAAAAAAAAAAACAAAGAAGTTACAGGGATGAACAACACGCTTTTTTTCTTTATAAATGCATTTTAATTTTTTTCTTGTCATGTGCATGTGCTTTATTGCGTCATTCACAGAGTCAGGCCAGGTCGAGCTGGGCTGGGCCTTTGGCATGACACGCCGGGCCGGGCCTGGGTGGCCCGTCCTCTATACATAATCGGGCCCGGGCCGGGCCGCGAAACTGTGGCCCTTGCACATCTCTACTCCAGAGTGCATCGTCCTCTGTTGCATCCAATGCGTTATTGATGTAGCATTTGCGGGAAGACGGAAGTACGCTGCCTCAGCGCAAACGCTTCATAAATCGGTGCATTCGTGATGGCGATCACTTGAATTGCACTAGCCCAAAGTCTTGCGCTATCTTGAAAGCTTTCACGCGTACGAACTCCATTGTTACGGGGGGGAACAACCCTGCATGCAGTTTCCGAACGGATTCGGGGAGTAGCATCTCCAGTTCGGGGTGCACTGCAGTTCATCCACGAAACGATGGGTTTTTTTGGTTGCTGCAGGATGTGATGCGCTGCTTTTGGCTCCTCCAGTATCGGACGCTTTTCTCCGATGCACTGAATTCCCGTTGTGCCGCCAGGTTGTCGTGCACTTCGGCATACTCGATAACTTTTTTCCCATCGTAAACTGTCGTTGACTACCACTAATTTCTGAAGGAAATAGAAAACAGCAGAGTGACAGCAGTTGGCCGAGGCAAAATGGCGTTGCTAGAACGCTGTAGGCCTTGACTAGCCTTGCCCAACGGCGCCACTGCTGGTGCTCACGATGGCAGTGGAGGTTTTCGACTTCACCTGCCCATCGTTGCGAGACTTCCACTTTTTTTTTTGCCAATGACCACTATATAAGACGAGGGTCGACTTTTTAATGCATTTTTTAAATTCAACCTTTATTCGATAAGGCAAGTGCACAAGAACAAATGCGCTACATATAGGACAGTCACGTAATGATCCCGATGATGTGAGAGGTACTGCCTACAATTAATCACTAGTAATCAAACTAGCTGCACTAAATAAAGAACCTTCCCTGCATCAAGAGACGTAATAAAATGCCACGTGTTTGTTTCTGTTTTCTTCGTGTCAAAAAGAACTGTCGGATGTTAAAATGCGGAATGGGGCGAGTGGTTCAAAAGTTCAATTTCCACCTGGTTAAACTGGACAGGTTGGGCCACCCAGCGGGGCACAGTTGAACCAAGTACGTCTGCCATCTTGGAGGCCATGGCAGGAAATTGTTCAATGGCCGTTGTTGCTACTGTGGCTTCCCCGCTAGTTGCGTTCTGCTGCTACTAGTGTCAGCGGCCGCGCAGTAATGCTGGGCAACGTTGTGCACGGCAACAGTGACGTGAAATGTTCCGCTTAAGGCGGGTAATTTGAAGCGCACTAACCTGATGCTGACTGCTAAAATGTGTTTTATTTCAAAATAAGCACATCCTTGGCACAAAAGTAACACGACAAGGTTTCTGGACCGCTATTTTATCAATCAACATCGACTTAATAGTTGCCTTTAGAGTCTATAACTGAGCATATGGTGTTACATCATAAGGGTGAGATACTCAATTTTATTGTGAGCACTCACTCAAATGATCGTGGGTGCATTGAAGAGATAGCTGCTGTATTAGACTTTTATTTTGCTTTGCAAGAGTTTTTTTTTTTTCTGCTTCCTTGTTGACATGTTTTTTCAAGGGACTGTTGGTTTTACTGTGCAGGGACATTCCTATTCCTCCACCAGCAGCTGATGGTGAACCTCCAGCACCTTGGTGGGACGAAGATGCTGACAAATCCCTTTTGATAGGGGTGTACAAACACGGTTAGTTCTAAGCACTGGAAAATATTTTTAAAGACCATAGTCTTTCTAGGGGACCTTTGACGCAAAAATTTTGGTCTGTCTGTATGTCTACATTTGTCTGTTTGTCCGCCCTTAACGGTACCTTAAGAGACACCAGACGATACCCCAAATGACCAAACCCATTCACAGCGCCTACCATATTGCTCAAGATTCAGTATTCATACTTTTGTGATTGTAAATTAGAAAGCAATTATTGCGCATATCTGAGGTACCATAACAATACGTCAATATTCTGTATGCTGCTTTTACTAGAAAGGGCATATATAAGTAATTCTGAGGACCGCAGCGTTTATCACGCTGCGCTGACCATGCAGCGCTTGCACGAAAAGGCAAGCGTTTCCAACGCTTTGCTAAGACGACATGGTAGTGGTACCTACCCGTCACCTTGCGTTGCACACCTTATCACCTCCGAGACGGGTGCGCACGCCATGCGCTTCATTTTCCTAGATAACTGCCAGATAGCGCTCATGTCTCACATGTGACGTGACTTAATGAGGTCGTTCGCCTCCAGAATACCATTCACCGATTTTCTTGCGCAGAACATCAAATAAACGTTTCGGTCACTTTCTCCCGACGCAAGACTACCGTCTTTCGACGACATTTGCCGTCTAACATGCAGATATGGGGCCAATTTTCAAATAACAGTTTGTTGGTATTATGATCAAACCAACGATTTCAGTTTCTCAGAGAGAATTTTTCAAGGAACAGTTATATGTAACATATAAATTTTTGGGAAGTTTTGTGTAAATGTATTACTTGCTTTGTCCTGGTAATGTGCATGTGTGCATACGTTTGTGTGCGTGTGTGTAAAATGCTTTTTTTCCAGCCACGTGCAAAATGGGCAAGGGTGCACTAGCAGGAAGGTTTCTGGGTTACAAACAGCCAACCACTGATGGCTGCGTGTTGATGCCACTACTCCTAACCAGCTTGACTTTGATGCTGCAGCATACATTGCTTCAGGAATGGTCTTTGACTATTGCGAAATAGTATTGTTGTGATGCAGTAGCGCCGCTCCAGTCGCTACGTCATTTTCTTTGAAATGAGAAACTGACAAGAGCACTGCGCGCCACTTCACTCAAATGCTGCGCCCCAGAGACTGATGCTATTGGCAAGCGGTAAATAATTGACGCATGTGCACGAAGGTTCGAGGTCGGCTGATGCAAGCGTACTTGTTTCAAATTCATCAGAGGTCAGGTACTTCTCTAACAGACCTCGTATTTCTTTTTGAAATGTTTTTTACATGATTATTGACTGTATATGTTCCGCAGGTTATGAAAGGTTCAACCTGATGCGACAAGATCACACCTTGTGCTTTCTGGCACGATGTGGTCCTCCTGATGGGGCTGCGCTTCTAGCAGAAATGACGGCGTAAGTACATTATTTTCTTCAAGAATGAACAGAGTGCTGTGACGTCATTAAAAGTAAGCCGCATATGTAAAATTATACCGTATTTACTTGCATAATTTTTTCACTTTTTTCGAGATTTCGGACCTCCAAGGTAGGGGTGCGGAAATTACGCGTAGATTTGGCGAATGCATACGAAATAAAAAAATAATAAATTAGAGCACACACAAAGTGTTCGTTCTAATTTAACAGAATTAGCACGTACTTAATCAGTGAGAACCTTTGACGTGCTATCTAGTCAGAATCGCTGATCGAGAGGTCCGATTGAGAATCACCGTTGCGGCCTCGTCACCCCTCTTGCTCTCATAAAGCGCATCGTCCTCGGTTCTGTTGCGCACATCCGAATGCCCCGTTTTCTGAAAGCTCTTCTCGACAATGCTAGGAGAGACTGGGTCCCACGACACTGCAATACCGGATCACTCAAGTGTTCGCACATAATTGAAAAGGCCTTCTTCAACAGCAGGAAACTTGTATGAGCAAGCGTGCACTGTTCTGCTTTCTCCCATACCGATCGCGCCGGTTGTCACACGTTGAAAAACTTCACGCTGAAGTCTTCCGTTTTCTTCGGCAAACTTTTTAACAGCGAGCTTGAATTTTGTCGTACATCCCCTTGAGTCGCGAACTTTAATGCGCTGTTAGAAACGCATCCAATTCGCGTGGCATAATTCCAAGGCACAAAGTATTACATTCCAAGTGGGAAAATAATAGGCAGCGCTGTTTGTATGACTTTAGGTAATTAAAGATAATGGGTGAGCAACTAATTATTTAATTATTCTGCCACCAGTCAGCTCCTCAACTTATATTAGGCCCGAAATGCGTGCACAGTTTGTTTCTTGGTTCTGTTTCGAGCGAAGAAAAAAAAATGCTGTTCACGTGGGTCCTGGAACGTGTCACGTCGAACCATCGTCGAACATGGTAGTGCATCCTGCAACATGATCCTGTGCAGCAACACGCAGCATGATGAAGTTAAGTGATCACAAGTTGTCCACTCAGGTGGCCTGCACGAATGTGCACACTAAGTTTCAAGCCATTTGATGAAACACGCAGTCCTTGACATGCCATTGAATTTGGCGTCTCCATTTGTACACACTGTGACTGAAAAGGATAAATATAACTGCTGCAGCTCATCGCAAGAGAACAGTAGAAATGAGACAGATGAATGGCGAAACCTAAATTTCCGAAAAGAACTAAGTGTGCGTTGCAGCGCAGATGCAGAGAACAAGGATAACAGTTGAGTTGGCGCGATATGCCCTTGCACTCCTCCAGTGCAGAATGTTGTCCGTGCCGTGACGCGAGCGTATGTTCTCACGGTAGTAGACAGGTGGTAGAGGTGGGGAGATAGAGGCGAACGCTTGAGCAGTTCCGGCGACCCATCAACAGACTCGCTTGCTGGACTCCGTGGCGAACTGTTATGCCGCCTGTGTTATGCCAGCATAATATTTACTGTGTGGTGCCCCGTCCTTCACTCCTGTACAGCGAATGCACATCTTTTATCTTTCTCATCTATTTTTTTTGTCCCTTTATCCCATATCTTACAAGGCACTGCATCGTGTCGGCCACGAGGCAGAAATTAGGTGCCTTTTTTCTTTCCTTCAAGAATCACCACTACTGACCCGTCAACAAGTTTGAGCGTTCGGGTACAGCATGGGGTACGTTTGGGTGAAGTTCTCGGATGAAAAGATTTCGCACTTGCAGCCCGTTTGACTGCGCTCGCCTGCTGAGCGAGGCACGCATATTGTGCACCTGTCCAAAGTGTCCATGTGACTAGTGCGAGTAAAAGTTTTTTTTTCTTTTCGTAAAACTGGCAAAATAATAGGGTTACGCAAATTATGTGAGTAAATACGATAGTTCACACCTGAAAATGGGAAAGAATTCGTTCATCAAGAAAGAGTATTCTTGCACCATAACCACATAGTATTTTGACTTTCATAATCAAGCTGCACTGCATGGAATAAGGACAAAGATGTATGCTTGTTTCTGTCTACTTCTCTTTTGCATGCTAGGATGCAGTATACCTAGATAATGAGTCACTAACTGGCCCAATTTTCCGCTTCAACTTTGATGCATGATTCTTGCAGTTGAACATCTTTAATCTGCTAATGATTTCTGATATATCAAAAACTATTGAATATATCATCATCTAATTAAGCGAGTGCCGAATTGGTTTCACCGCTGTACAGCGTAACATGTATATTTTGAAGTAGCCTTTTTGTAGGATGTAGCATGGTCTGCAAAACTCTTGCTCTTGGCTGCATCTTTCACGCAATTTGCAGGATTTCGCAACTTGAGTGCATTATAAACTTGTGAAGAAATGATTATCACGGTGAGCAGCAGTTGTCTCAAGGAATGTGCCATATGAAGGGCATACCAGAAATGTGCCATGTATGAAGGGTATGGTAACATCGCTATGTGTATCTTGTAGGGTGAAGAAAACTTGTTGTATTTCCTTAAATTTATATCTGTTAGAAACGTGAAGAACCAGCACACTACTAATATTACAAATGTGCCATGTATGAAGGGTATGGTAGCATCTCTATGTAAATCTCATGGGGTGAAGAAAACTAGTTGTATTTCCTTAAATTTATATCTGTTAGAAACGTGAAGAACCAGCACGCTACTAATATTCCTGGTGTGCTACTAAACTAAACTGCAGTGCGTTTTTATTTTTTATCAGGGCTTCAGCTGCACCATTGTAAAGAATAGCCAGTGGGTTTTAGAAGAGAGAAAAACTTATTCCATCCTGAAAATTACATGAGCAGCAGTTGTATTGCCAAGATTCTACTGTGTATTCAAATATACATGAATGGCAGATTCATTAGAAACCACTTGTCAGAAAAGTTGACCTCAACATGCAAACATGGTATAGGCAAGATCACCTGACATGTAGGCTTCTATGGAGGCGATTGTTATAGCCCAAGAATAAAACGACGACAAAGGAACAAGAGAAGACAAGCACTATTGCTTTGTCGTCGTTCTGTTCTCACGCTATAGGAATCGTCATGTCATACCAAATATAGCCCCAACGCCACGCTTCTACGAGATTCAATATTTTTTAATACACTCGAACCTCATTATAAAAAACTGGCATTTTACGTGAAAATAAGTTCGTTATATAAAAAAATTTGTTATAAAGGTTTATTCTCAACACTAAATCTATTGCGAGTCTATTTATCATTTAATTCGTTATAACCAATATTTTGTTATATTTGGATTCGTTATATCGAGGTTTGAGTGTATTACCATACAACCTCATCAATTTACTCTTTAGTGTAATAATGCTTGGAGGGTTAATCCTCATAAAACTCTAGTGTGTTATAGTAGAAGCTTGTTGATCAGAATTTCTCGGATATGCTTTCGCACTTTGTACAAAATGAACTTGAAAAAAAGTGACACAGCAGAGTTTCAGTGGTACAACCACAGCTTCTATGAATTTCGGGGGGATAAACATTTTTTTGTTGTCTCGGCCAAGGGAGTACGGTTTTTACAAACCAATTTTCACCCCATGACGTTTACGCCTGCTAACTCCGCGATTTGCACTGGAGACTGGGAAATTTTGGGGCAACCTCCGAAAAAACATCATTAACACCACTTCAATAAGAAAATAACAACAAAGGGCAGGGTAATGAAGTGCTGTTAAACCTAGATATAACGAAATTGACAAATTCTCAGAAAAATTCGTTCTAAAGAGGATTTTGTTATATGCAGGTACGGTATGAAAATTCGAAAAATAAACGCCCAAATTGAACAAAAGGGAAACTGAAGGTAAAGCTAACCAAAACACTTATTTAGGATTAAAAAATTGGGTTTATTGCAAAAACTGGAATATAGGTCGACCCTTCAAACTTTGAATCTCGGAAAAAGAAACATTTAAAAATCGCAAATTATCGTGGTGCACCCTTATCTTGGTAAATACGAGACACAACCAGCTGCACTCTGGTGACATTTCTTTTTAATTTGACACTAATCTCATGCAGTCCAACACCAGAAGGCCAAAAAATGCTATCGCTCAGAGTTCGACGACGTCAGTTTTTTACTAGTAACGTCCCAGAGTGCATCCTCCTTCATTCCATCTAATGCATTACTGATGTACTATTTGCAGAAAGACTGAAGTATGCCGCTTCAGAGCAAAACCCTCTTTATTCATAAATCGGTGCACCCATGATGGCGATTCCTTGAATTTCACCCTCGTGAGCCCAGAGCCGTGCGCTATGTTGAGAGCTTCCAGGCGGATGCACTCCGCTGTTTGGGTAGTGAGGTTTCACGCAGATCGAGGATGAAATCGCCTAGTAGCGTTACCAGTTGGGGGTGCACTGCAGTACATCCATGAAACGATGGTTTTTTTTTTTTTTTTTTTTGGTTGTCACAGGATGTGATGCGCTGCTTTTGGCTCTTCCATTATTGGATGCTTTTTTCCGATGCACCGAATTCCTGTTGTGCTGCCAGGTTACCGTGCGCTTCGGCATACTCGAAAACTTTTTTCGGTAAACTGCCCTCGACTACCACTAATTTCGTATGGAAATAGAAAATGGCACACTTACAGCGGATAGCCGAGGCGAAATGGCACTGCTAGAACACTGTAGGCCTTGCCCAACGGCGCTGCTGCTGGTGCTCAAGATGGTAATGGAGGCTTTCAACTTCAGCTGCCCATTTTTGCGAGACTTCCACATTTTTTTCTGCCAATGACTGGTATATACTAGGGTCAACTTTTCATTGCTTTTTTTTTTCTTTTAAATTCAATCTATATTCTATTTTTACGGTATATGGACACGCTCGATGCATTTCGTTACCACCGTGTTCTGTAGCAAGCCCAAATTGATAACACGCCCTTGCGCATTGTATCTGTTTGGAGCTGGCAAAAGTGGCGAGAGCTTTCGAAGCGGAAATCAAATTAGCCAGCCCATCTCTATCGCCTGGAGGGCACATACGATAACATCCCCCCGCGTGTTAGAACTGCCGTCAAATAA